TGGTGGTGGGCACCTGTAATCCCAGCTATTGGGGAGGCTGAGGCAGGAGAATCGCTTGAATCCAGGAGGCGGAGGTTGCAGTGAGCCTAGACCATGCCATTGTACTCCAGCCTGGGTGACAAGAGCAAGACTCTGTCTCAAAAAAATAAAGAGAAGTAAAAAATGGCTCCAACAAGGACATTTTTTTAGAGATAATGAATGTGTTTAGTACCTTGGCTGGTGGGGGTTGGTATATATATATGCCCAAGTATATGTATATGTCCAGGCTCATCAAAATATATACATAAAAACAGGTGCAAATTTTATGTATCAATTATACCTTAATATAAAAAAATGAAAAAAATGGCGCCTGGTGTTTTGTGTAGAGCAAGTGGAAGAATGAAATTACTGTCAACTGAGACTGGAAAGACTGGTAAAGCAGATTTGGGTTGGAGGAGATGAGTAGTTCAGTTTTGGTCATGTTGTATTTGAGGTGCCTATTAAACATCTGAATGGATATGTTAAGTAGTTAGTTGGCTATATTAGACTGAAGTTCAAGAGAGAGAAATCCAGGAATTGTTAGCATGTAGATGTCATTTAAAATTATGAGGCTGGCAAGAGATCACCAAGGGAGTGAAAATAGATAGAAAAGTGAAGAGGAACAGGGACCAATCCCTGGGGCACTCCCATTTTAAGAGGTTTGGAAGAAGAGGAAGAACCAGTAAAGGAGACTGAGAAGGGACAGTCAGTGAGGTTGTAAGAAACAGGAGTCGGTGGCTCACGCCTGTAATCCCAGCACTTTGGGAGGCCAAGGTGGGCCGATCACAAGGTCAGAAGATCAAGACCAGCCTGACCAATATGGTTAAACCCTGTCTCTACTAAAAAAAAACAAAAAACAAAAAAAAGCACGAAAATTAGCTGGGCTTGTTTGCGCGTGCCTGTAGTACCAGCTACTCAGGAGGTTGAGGTGGGAGAATCGCTTGAACCTGGGAGGCAGAGGTTGCAGTGAGCCGAGATTGCACCACTGCACTGCAGCCTGGCAACAGAGTGAGACTCCGTCTCAAAAAAAAAAAAAAAAAAAAAAAAAAGAAAGAAACAGGAGTAAGGTTTCCCTGGGAGCCAGAGGAAGAAAGTAAACAGAGAAGGAGTGGCTTTTCACCTGTGCCCAATAGGTGATAGGTCAAGGAAGTGAGGACTTAAAGTTAACCATTGGACTTCATAACAAGGAGGTCATGTTATGTGACCAGGTTAATGTGAACTGTTTTCGCAGAGTAGTAGTGACCTGATTCAGCTGAGTGAGTAGAAGAATGGGAGGCAGTAAATAGGCTCAGTTCTTGTGATGAGTTTTATGACAAAGAGGAGCAGAGTTGGGGAATATAGGGTCAAGAAGATTCCTCTTTTTTTCTGCTTAAAATGGGAGAGTAAAAGCAATCTGATAGTATATTGATGGGAATGATCCAGTACGGAGCGAAGGCAATGATGGTGCAGGAGAGAGAAGGGAGAATTGTTGGAAACAATGAACCTAAATAAGCTTATGCCTTTTTAATCCCTTTGTTTCATTTTAGTAGGATTTAGTAGGACTTTCATTTAGTAGGAGTTTTAGGTGGAATATTCTGTTATTTTAATCAGAAGTTCCCTTTAATCTTAATACTTACTTAAGCATTCCCATATAAGAATAGGAGTTTCAGTTTCCATCTTGCAATGAAGAAACCAAGGCCCTAGGTCATACAGGGGAGAAGCTGTACTTCATATTTACCCATTATCCTTTAGGTCAAGCTCAGTTTTTCAATTGCCATCCTTCCAGAGCCTATATGAATTTTTTTGAGACAGAGTTTTGTTCTATCACCCAGGCTGGAGTGCTGTGGTGTGATCTCGGCTCGTTGCAACTTTCACCTCCTGGGTTCCAGCGATTCTCCTGCTCAGCCTCCTGAGTAGCTGAGATTACAGGTGTGCGGCACCATGCCTGGCTGATTTTTGTATTTTTAGTAAAGAAGGAGTTTTACCATGTTGCCCAGGCTGGTCTCGAACTCCTGACCTCAAGTGATCCACCCACCCACCTTGGCCTCCCAGAATGCTGGGATTATAGGCGAAAGCCACTGCACCAGGCTTTATATGATATTTTTTGCTTCCAAAAAGCATTCCTTTCTAACCAGCCAGTAAACAACAGTTGAACTAGTCTGTCTTTCTTCTTTCCTCTCCATCTCTTCTTTCTTTCCTTGCTTTCCTCCCTCCCTTTCTTCTCTCTCTCTCTCTCTCTGTCTCTCTTTCTTTCCCTCCCTCCCTTTCTTCCTCCTCCTTTCCTCTCTTCTCCTCTCCTCTCCTCTTTTCTTTTCTTTTTCTTTTGATTGAGTCTCACTCTTGCCTAGGCTGGAGTGCAGTGGCACAATCTCAGCTCACTGCAACCTCCACCTCCCAGGTTCAAGCGATTCTTCCTCCTCAGCCTCCCAAGTAGCTGGGATTACAGGTGCCCACCACCACACCTGGCTAAATTTTGTATTTTTAGTAGAGACGGGGTTTTGCCATGTTGGTCAGGCTGGTCTTGAACCCCTGACCTCAAATGATCTGCCCACCTCGGCCTCTCAAAGTGCTGGGATTACAGGCAGGAGGCATCACGCCCAGTGGAACTAGGCTTTCTTTAAATCACCAACCTTAAAATTTGAAAACTATGTTGAGTAAAAATCAAGGATATCTTATGTGAAATTATAGCAAAAGTGATCAGGTACAACCTTAATTGATCTTACCTCTCAGGTAGCACTGTTTTGTGGTATAATTCCCCCTTTACTACATAATTTGTGGTTTGTTTGTAAATACAGTGGACCCAGAACACATGCATTATGAGAACAAAAGGACCTAGTAAATCAGATGGTGTTTCCTGTTATGGCAGCAATTGGCTTTTAGGATTTTTGAGATCATAACAACTAAATCAGGATTGCATTTGACTTGTATATACCAGGAGGAAATGGAGGATCTGACTAAGCTATAATATAATTGGTACTCGGTTATATGAAGAAATATAGAAATGATGTGCTTATATCAGGACATTAAGTAAGAGTGGAATCATAGCAGCTTAGTAATACATTAGGAATTCACAGAAAGGGAAGATTATTTTCCATAAATAAATTGGAGTTCTAAGTAATAATACCTTTCCTGTTCAGTCATTCATACAATTTTTCAATAATATTTATTGAACACATATGTCAGACTAAGGAAACAACTCGCTTCGTGGAGCTTACAGTTTGGAATGTAATTGATAGCATCTTCTGTAAAGTCACAGGGCAGGAATCATGATTCTTTCTTTTTTGTTTTTCTGAGACAGAGTCTCACTTTGTTGCCCAGGTTGGAGTGCAGTGGTAAGATCTCGGCTCACTGCAGCCTTGACCACCCGGGCTCAGGCCGTCCTCCCACCCCAGCTTCCCGAGTAGCTGGGGCTACAGGCGTGTGTCACCATGCCTGGCTAATTGTTGTTGTTGTTGTTGTTGTTGTTGTTGTTTTGAGATGGAGTCTCTGTTGCCTAGGCTGGAGTGCAGTGGCATGATCTCGGCCTACTGCAACCCACCTCCTGGGTTCAAGCAGTTCTCCTGCCTCAGCCTTCCGAGTAGCTGAGATTACAGGCGCCCACCCTGATGCCTGGCTAAATTTTGTATTTTTAGTAGAGACGGGGTTTTGCCATGTTGGCCCAGTTGGTCTCAACTCCTGACCTCAAAGTGATCCACCCGCCTTGGACTCCCAAAGTGCTGGGATTATAGGCTTGAGCCACTGCACCCAGCCTAATTTTTTTATTTTTTGTAGACAGGCCATGTTGTCCAGGTGGTCTTGAACTCCTGGACATAAGCAGTCCTCCCACGTTGGCCTCTCAAAGTGCTAGGATTACAGGTTTGAGCCACTGTGCCCGGTCAGTCATGTTTCTTTTTTTTTTTTTTTTTTTTTTTTTTTGAGACGGAGTCTCGCTCTGTCACCCAGGCTGGAGTGCAGTGGCTGGATCTCAGCTCACTGCAAGCTCCGCCTCCCGGGTTCACGCCATTCTCCTGCCTCAGCCTCCCGAGTAGCTGGGACTACAGGCGCCCGCCACCACGCCCGGCTAATTTTTTTTTGTATTTTAGTAGAGATGGGGTTTCACCGTGTTAGCCAGGATGGTCTCGATCTCCTGACCTCGTGATCTGCCCCTCTCGGCCTCCCAAAGTGCTGGGATTACAGGCTTGAGCCACCGCGCCCGGCCTAATCATGTTTCTTATATCACTGTATTTGTCTGCAAGGGCTGCCATTACAAAATACGGCAGACTGAGTGGCTTAAAGAAATTTATTTCCTCCTTGTCTGGAAGCTAAAAGTCTAAGATCAGAGTCTCTGCTGGTTTGGTTTCTGCTGAGGCCTCTCTCCTCGGCTTGTATAGACACCTTCTTGCTGTGTCACATGGTCTTTTTCTTTGTGTACCCAACCTTGGTGTCTCTGTGTGTCCACATTTTCTCTTACAAAGACAGCAGGCATGGTGTGGTGGCTCACACCTGTAATCCCAGCACTTTGGGAGGCCGAGGCGGGAGGATCACCTGAAGTCAGGAGTTCGCGACCAGCCTGGCCAACATGGTGAAACCTTGTGTCTACTAAAAATACAAGAATTAGCAAGGCTAGGTGATGGGCATCTGTGATCCCAGCTACTCAGGAGGCTGAGGCAGGAGAATTGCTTGAACCCGGGAGGCGGAGGTTGCAGTGAGCCGAGACCATGCGACTGCACTCCAGTCTGAGCAACAGAGTGAGACTCCGTCTCAAAAAAAAAAAAAAAAAGACATCAGTGAGATTGGATTAAGGTCTGCCTTAACTGCCTCATTTTAACTAAATCACCTCTTTAAAGGCCCTGTCTCAAAATATAGACACATTTTGAGTACTGGTGGTTAAGGCTTCAACACTTCAACTGGTGGTTAAGGAGTTTTTAGGGGACACAGTGTAGCCGCAAACCATCACCTAGCATGAGTAATCAGCTGTGAAACTTGCTAGTTTTGCTTGTGTAATAATTCGGTTCTCTTCCTAGTACTATGAAGTATTCCTTCGACAGTCTCCATTGGAGCCCTGCCTTGTATTTCATGAAGGTGGATACTGGCGTGAGCTCGTAGTCCGCACCAATAGCCAAGGGCACACAATGGCTATCATCACTTTCCATCCCCAGAAATTAAGTCAGGTGAGCCTCACAAGATGTTAAGCAACCATCACTTTTACTACTACTATTACTGTAATTGTTTTTTTTGAAGTTTCAGGGCATATAGCAGAAACTGTACATCCACAGAGTATTTGTGTTGATTGGGGAGAGGAGTTAGAGATGAGGAGAAGATGGCAAGGATACTATTTAACCATACTGCTCGCATAATCAAACCACAGAGACTGTAGCTAGGCTACGTGAGAACTCCCAAGTAATTTCACAAGAACTTTGCCCATGGTAGTAGTTGCTCTTCCAAATCCAAATGCCAGTTCACAATATAGACTGCAATGTCAGAGAATTTCATAACCCAAATAGTACTTTACATTTGTCATGCACTTGGTGCTTTCAAACATACCTGTGTTAAGACATTCCTATACTTATATGATCATCTCAACAAACTTGTAAGGTAGGCAGGAGGAGAGATATTGTCACCCTCATTTTACACCTGAGGAAATGGAGGCATAGAAATACCCAAGGTTAAAGAATCAGTAAATAGCAAAGCTAGGATTTGAACCCAGGTCCTTTGATGCCTGGCGTTTTTAACCCTATTGTTCCTACACGGTTTATTGGCAGTATATCCTAGTATCAAGCTAATACTTAGGCTCTCTGTAGTTATGTAAGAATTTTATTTTTTATTTTTATTTTTTGAGACAATGTCTTGCTCTGTTGCCCAGATTGGAGTGCAGTGGTGCAATCATAGCTCACTGTGGCCTCAAACTTGTGGGCTCAAGCAATCTTGCTACCTCAGCCTCTTAAGTAACTGGGACTACAGGCATACGTCACCATACCTGGCTAATTTTATTTATTTATTTTTTTGAGACACTCTCGCTTCTTCGCCCAGGTTGGAGTGCAATGGCATGATCTCAGTTCACTGCAACCTCCGCCTCCCTGGTTCAAGCAGTTCTCCTGACTCAGCCTCCCAAGTAGCTGGGATTACAGGCACGTGCCAGCACACCTGGCTAATTTTTGTATTTTTAGTAGAGATGGAGTTTCACCATGTTGGCCAGGCTAGTCTCGAACTCCTGACCTCAACTGATCTGCCTGCCTTGGCCTTCCAAAGTGCTGGGATTACAGGTGTGAACCACCACTCCTAGCCTTTTTGATTGCTTGTAGAGACAGGATCTTGCTATGTTACCTACGCTTGTCTTACACTCCTGGGCTCAAGCAGTCCTCCTACCTCAGCCTCTCAAAGTGCTGGGATTATAGGCATGAACCATCATGTCTGACCTGCTTTATGTTAAGTGTTATTTATAATAAGATTTGTGAAATGTCTTCGTGTCTGATTACTGCAGGGCTGATTACTATAGAGCTTAGAGAGAAAATTTGTTAGAGATGAGTCTTTGCTTAACTACCAATTTTGTGGTCTGGGCAGGAGGAGCTCCATGTTCAGAAGGAGACTGTAAAGGAATTTTTCATCAGAGGTCCTGGAGCAGCCTGTGACTTGACCTCACTTTACTTCCAGGAAAGGTAAACCTGGGACAGCCAAATAGGCTGATGGCTTGCCAGACTCTTGGTTTATGGATTGCTGATGCAGAGTTGCTGATTGATGGTGGAGGATATTGGCTAAATGGTTCTGGCCCTTGTACACCAGCCGGGTCTGGGAACACAGGCCAGAATGTAGATGTGAGAGTGTCCACATGGACTTTCATCCCCTGACGGGGAAACCCTTGCAGAGCTCTCAGGACCATGGCAGGGACTGTGTCTCCTAGCTGAGATGCTGGGGCCTCCCTGTCTACTCAACCACTAGGGATGTGATGGTCTGCCATTTCAAGATGCTTTCTTTTTTTCTTTCTTTTTTTTTTTTTTTTCCTCTGAGACTGAGTCTCACTCTGTTACCAGGCTGGAGGACAGTAGTGCAGTCTTGGCTCACTGCAACCTCCACCTCCCAAGTTCAAGTGATTCTTCTACTGCAGCCTCCTGAGTAGCTGGGATTACAGGCATGTACCACCACACCTGGCTAATTTTTAGATTTTCAGTAGAGACGGGGTTTCACCATGTTGGCCAGGCTGGTCTCAAACTTCTGACCTTAGGTGGTCCCCCCGCCTCAGCCTCCCAAAGTGCTGGGATTACAGATGTGAGCCACCATGCCCAGCTCAAGATGCTTTCTTCTTTTATTCTTTTCCAGTACCATGACCCGTTGTAGCCATCAGCAGTCTCCCTATCAGCTTCTGTTTGGGGAACCCTACATCTTTGAAGAACTTCTGAGTTTGAAGATCCGCATCTCTCCAGATGCCTTTTTCCAGATTAACACTGCTGGTGCAGAGATGCTGTATCGGACTGTGGGGGAGCTGACTGGAGTGAACTCTGACACCATCCTTCTTGACATCTGCTGTGGAACTGGCAAGTGGAAGCCCAGGGCAGAATCTGCATGCTGCTCAGCTCCCAGGGCCCTTGTAGCTTGCAGAGGTGGTCGGGGAGAGGTAGTGGTAGTGGTGCAGGCGTAATCTTATTGGTCTAAAACCCTAAAATTGCAGCCAAGTGTGGTTGCTCATGCCTGTTATCCCAGCACTTTGTGAGGCAAGGCAGGAGGATTGGTTGAGCCCAGGAGTTAGAGACCAGCCTGGGCAACATAGTGAGACCCCATCTCTACAAAAAAATTAAAAATTAGCTGGGCATAGTGGCATGAGCCTGTAGTCTTAGCTACTCGGGGGGCTGAGACAGGAGGATTGCTTTAGCCCGGGAAGTCGAGGCTGCAGTGAACTGTGTGCCATTGCACTCCAGCCTTGGCTACAGAGTGAGACCCTGTTTAAAACAAACAAACAAAAAAAGACAAAACAAAAAACAAACAAACTACCACACCCAAACCCTAAAATGCTGCCTCCTTCTTCTTCTCTTTTACTTCTTCAGGTGTGATTGGCCTCTCTCTGGCTCAGCATACATCTCAGGTCCTCGGGATTGAATTGGTGGAGCAGGCAGTGGAGGATGCAAGATGGACTGCAGCCTTCAATGGTACACAGTTTACAGTCTGTGTAGAAATTAAGAGATGCAGTTGTTTCCGTGCTATGGAAAGAATTGTGTGGGAAAGGACGACTACTGTATCCCTGACCCACAGGGAGGAAGGGAGGGAAATCTGGAGTGGTCAGAATGGTTTTCTGGAATAGATCCTCATGGTTTTCTGGAATAGGTACTAATATATAACGTTTTTCCTATCCAAAAGAGGAACCTAAGGGAAGGTACATGTCTAGCTGATAGGAAGAAAAGTTGCAAAACTTTGGACAGAATAGAAGAATCTCCTTGACATTAGACTCATGAGGCCTTATAGCATAATACAGTAGGTTTCAAACCTATATTTTCAGCAACAAAACCTTTTCTTCAAACACAGTCTTCTGTCAAACTGCAATATAGAAAATAGATCATCTTGCTCCCACTACTTCACCTCCAGAATGCTCCTGAGGCATTTGGTGAAAATGTCTGATATAGCAGGAAGAGCACTTGAGCAAAAGTCAAGATTCTCGTCTTGGTATAAGTCCTTGCATGCTATGTGAGTTGTAAAGTTGTAAAATAGCAGGCATGGTGGCTCACACCTGTAATTCCAGCACTTTGGGAGGCTGAGGCGGGTGGATCACAAGGTCAGGAGTTCAAGACCAGCCTAGCCAAGATGGTAAAACCCCATCTCTACTAAAAATACAAAAATTAGCCGGTCGTGGTGGCAGGCGCCTATAATCCAAGCTACTCGGGAGGGTGAGGCAGAGAATTGCTTGAACCCGGGAGGTGGAGGTTGTAGTGTGCTGAGATGGCACCACTGCACTCCGGTCTGGGCAACAGAGCGAGACTCCATCGCAAGAGAAAAAAAAAAGTGTAAATACTAGTTGCTCAAGCTGAAAGACTTACTGAGCTATTCCAAGGGAAAGTACTTTGGAAAAAATGAAGCGGGTCTGTCCAAAAGCACTTCTTTCCTTGTTACTTGGAGTGATGCTAGATCCAAAGGGAAGATGGCAGAGCCCTTGGCTCCTGTGCATTTCTGTGAAGCTGAAGCTTTCCCCCACTGCTGGGCTTGAGTTATGTCATGTGGGCCTGTCTTCCATAGGCATCACCAACTCTGAATTTCACACTGGTCGAGCAGAGAAGATTTTGCCAGGGCTACTAAAGTCAAAGGAAGATGGACAGTCAATTGTTGCTGTGGTGAACCCAGCCCGTGCCGGACTGCGTAAGGATGAACAGCTATTTTGATGTTCCCAGTATTATCCACCAACTTTGGTTCTTCTTTTCCACACCATGCTATGGGTACTCCCAGTGGGCTGGCTCTGAACCTGTTTCCCCTCTATTTCTAATCAATCCTGAGTTCTGGTCAGTTGGAGGTTTGTGATAACAGAGACCATAGTAGTTAATTATACTAATAGCAAGGTATTTCTTCCTTCAGATTACAAGGTGATTCAAGCCATTCGAAACTGCAGGGCCATCCGCACGCTAGTTTTTGTTTCCTGCAAGCTCCATGGTGAATCTACTAGGAATGTCATTGAGTAAGTCTTGACTTCTGTTTAAAATTTTTTGTTCTGATTATCAAAGTCATTCATGCTTATCGTGCACACAGTTGGAAAGTGATTTGAGCTTTCAAGTCATGAGAAGTGTAAAGAAACAGAAACAAAAAAAAAAAATACCACCTTCAAGACTCAATTACAGGGCTGGGTCAGGAATGAGGCAAGTCAAGTACTTAGTTTGGGTGCAAAATTTAAGAATGTGTCAGCCGGGTGTGGTGGCTCACGCCTGTAATCCTAGCACTTTGGGAGGCCGAGATGGGTGGATTGCCTGAGCTCAGGAGTTCAAGACTAGCCTGGGCAACGCAGTGAAACCCCATGTCTACTATAAAAATACAGAAAATTAGCCAGGCATGGTTTGTGCGCCTGTAATCCCAGCTACTTGGGAGGTTGAGACAGGAGAATCACTTGAACCTGGGAGTGTTAGGATTACAGGTGTGAGCCACCATGCTCAGCCTTCATGACATTTTCCAATTAGTTATTGCCAATCTGGTGTACAGCTACCTTACTCTATTATTAGTTTTATTCATTTTTTAGTTGGTTCTCACATTGTTGTGGCAGCTGACCATATGATCACCATGTATAAAAATAATTCTGTCCCTCTCCTTCTAATACTCATTTCCTTTTGCTTATTATATTGGATAAGAAAATGTTCCATTGTAGATGTGATAGGGAATATTTTTGTTGTGTTTTTGATTATAATGGACAATGCTATCTAAACTACAGTCTTGTGTCACATAATAACATTTCAGTCAACAATGGACTGCATATATGATGTTGGTCCCATAAGATTATAATGGAGCTGACCAGGCACGATGGCTCATGCCTGTAATCCCAGCACTTCAGAAGGCTGAGGCGGGAGGGTCACTTGAGGTCAGGAGTTTAAGACCAGCCTGGCCAACATAGTGAAACCCCATCCCTACTAAAATACAAAAATTAGCCGGGTGTGGTGGTCATGCGTGCCTGTAATCCCAGCTATTTGGGAGACTGAGGCAGGAGAATTGCTTGAATCCAGGAGGTGGAGGTTGCAATGAGACAAGATTGTGCCACTGCACTCCAGCCTGGGTGATAGAGCAAGACTCCGTCTCAAAAAAAAAAAAAAAAAAATTATAATGGAGCTGAAAAATTCCTATGGCCTAGTGACATCATAGCTGTTGTAACGTTTTATCACATGGGTTACTTACATGTTTGTGGTCATGCTGGTGTAAACAAATTTATTGTGCTGTCAGTAGGTTTGTTTACACCAGCATCACCACTTATAAAATTAAGTACGTGTAGTTATCTATAGTACATAATATTGATAATAAATGACTGTGTTACTGGTTTATATACTTACTATACTGTACTTTTGTTATTTTAGCAGATAGTCCTTCTACTTATTTTTTTAAAGTTAACTGTAAAACAGCCTCAGGCAGATCCTTCAGGACGTATTCCAGAAGAAGGCATTGTTATCACAGGAGATAACAGCTCCATGTATGTTATTGCCCCTGAAGACCTTCTAGTGGGACGAGATGTGGAGGTACAAAACAGTGATATTGATGATCCTGTCCCAGGCTAGAGTACAGTGGTGTGATCTCAGCTCACTGCAACCTCTATCTCCTGGGCTTAAGCCATCCTCCTGCCTCAGCCTCCTGAGTAGCTGGCACTACAGGTGTGAGCCACCATGCCCAGCTAGTTTTTGTGTTTTTTGTAGAGACAGGGTTTTGTCATGTGGCCCCAGCTGGTCTCGAACTCCTGAGCTCAAGCAGTCCTCTCATCTCAGCCTTCCAAAGTGCTGGGATTTCAGGCATGAGCCAGCATGTCTGGACCTTAGTTTATTTATTTTTTATTTTTTGGTAAAGACAGAGTCTCGCTATACTGCCCAGGCTGGTATTGAATTCCTGGTTTCAAGTGATCTCCGGCCTCAGCCCCCAGAGTAGCTAGAAATACAGGCATGTACTACCACACCCAACTAATTTTAAAATCAGTTAAAATTAAAATTTTGTAGAGATGGAGTCTTACAATGCTGTCCAGGTTGACCAGTTTTTCTACTATATTTTTACAGTACTTTTTAATGTTTAGATACATAAATACTTACCACTGTGTTACAGTTGTCTACAGTGTTCAGTACAGTAACATGCTGTACAGATTTGTAGCTGAGGAGAAATAGGCTATAGCGTATAGCCTAGATGTGTAGTAGGCTCTGTCATCTAGGTATGTGTAAGTATGCTCTATTATGTTCACACAATGAAGAAATTGCCTAACAATGCAATTTTCAGAATGTACCCCCATTGTTAAGTGATGCATGACTGTATTGAATGTTATCCAGGCAAACAAATACTCTTCTACTTTGCTGGTTTGGATGTAAAGTGGTACAACCCTTTTTAGAAGAGTTTGGTGATTATGTATCTTAAGGCCTTATAAACATGCAGGCTCTTCAGCTCCAACCAAATATGTATTGAACCCTTATTCTGTGTCACATACTGGGAACACAGAAATGAATATTAAGCAGTGTTTACTTCATTTCTATCCTTAAAAAGATTATACTTCAGTAAGGAAGATGGTGAAGAAAAACAGTTATATTAAATAAGATAAATGCTGTATAAGAGAAACACAGGGGGCCTGTGGGAACACAGTGGAAGGGCCTCTATTTTAAGCAATTGTATTCCTGTGGGTTCTTCCTTTTATTCCTGGGAACTGATGCTATGTTCTGTTTCTACAGGCTGTGCTGTCCTCCAGACCCTGCTAAGAAGCTCTTAAGCGAGCCCTTTGTCCTGCAGCAAGCTGTCCCTGTGGATTTGTTCCCCCACACCCCACACTGTGAGCTGGTACTCCTCTTCACTCGATAAGCAGCCTCCTAGAAGACTGCAGGCTATTTGTTAAGGCTGAAGTTTCAGAAACTTTCAGGTTTGGCATATTGCTACATTGCAGACCCTGGGAGCACTACAGTGGAAACCAACCTTTGGTTTGTGAATAGGAAGAATGTAGTAGGCCTCTGGTCTGAGGCAGACTTTTTTTTTTTTTTTTTTTGAGATGGAGTCTCATTCTTGCCCAGGCTGAGTGTCGTGGCATGATCTTGGCTCACTGCAACCTCCACCTCCCGGGTTCAAGTGATTCTCGTGCCTCAGCTTCCCCAGTAGCTAGGATTACAGGTGCGTGCCACCATGCCTGGCTAATTTTTGTATTTTTAGTAGAGACGGGGTTTCGCCGTGTTGGCCAGGCTGGTCCCAAACTCCTGACCTCAAGTGATCCACCTGCCTTGGCCTCCCAAAGTACTGGGATTATAAGTGTGAGCCACCGCACCCTCTCAAGGCAGACTTAACCTTAGTTTTCAGATTCCCTTTCAATCATGCCCGTTTGCTTGGGTTTGACCACCCCCCACTCCTGGTTCTGTACTGTTTCTTCCTATTGCTGTCAGCCTTGGTTTTAGTTTATAGTCTTGTCTCCTCCATTTGATTCTGCTTATGGTGTGGACAAATGACCTTTTTTTTAGCAGCTGGTAATAATTTTACATTGACTGGAGCCTGTGCATTTGCTCAGAGATGCTACAATTTTTAGATATTTCTAAGACTTCTGGATTCATGAGGTAGTTAAGGATTAAAACCAGACACAGTCGAGGTTTTTTAAAGCAGAGTAAGCCATGAAGTGAATACCAGGTGACTGATCATTAGATGAGATTAATTCTTTCGGGTTTTCTTGGTTTTAAGGCATCTCGAATGCCCCTTGAAAATGTAGTTATCACTGGTGGTGGGCACCTGTAATCCCAGCTATTTGGGAGGCTGAGGCAGGATAATTGCTTGAACCTGGGAGGTGGAGGTTGCAGCGAGCCGAAATCACGCCACTGCACTCCAGCCTGGGTGACAGAGCAAGACACCATCTCAAAAAAAAGAAAAGAAAATGTAGTTGTCCCTAGGAACAATAGCACCAATGAACTCTCACCAATGGAGGAAGAATTGGTTATTGGAGAGACCCTAAGGGAAAGGAGATTTTCAAAGAGACTGAATACCTATAACTGTGCTGTGTAGTGTGGAGGCAAAAGCTCCAAAATCTAATACAGCATAATAAACTGGATATTGAAAACTGACTATATTTAACATTCTCTAGTCCATGATTTCATCAACTCTGGAATTGTTCTTAGGTACTTGCCCAACAATTTAGATTATGTTTTGGTAATCTAAAGGCCTAAGGATGTGTAACTTAGTAAGCGTTGTCTGATTCACAAAGTGATATCTGGTTAACTGGTATTTTTAATTCTTCTCAATCAAACATTCTAGAGAAGCCTCCTTCTTAGAAAAATATGGCTGTTAAACCTACTATATAATGTTTTCTATTCTTTTTTTAGATGGTGGGTCAGGTATAGCCAGAAGAGGAGACACAGGAGAGGCTCAGGAAAACAAAGTCTATTATGCTCACAGGTCCTAGAGACAGGAGACATATTATGCCACATAGGGCTACATGGGAAAGACACCAGAGTAGGCAGGAGGCAGAAGACAGAAGAGGGGAAGGTTTAGGCCACTGCTGTTACTTGAGTTTCCTTGGGAAAGGCAATGCAGGGCAGAGTGAACAGTTTAGGATTGGCTACTTTGAATAAGGTATAGGGGTGGCTCCCTAGTTGTCTGGTACCTGGCCATGGGGTGATTAGGACACTGGAATGTTGTCTCTTGGGGTGTCCGTGCCAGATAGGGGCAATATAGCTCTGAATTGGTTAGTTTGTATATCAAAGAAATCTTCCAGCTGAACCCTTGCTATCTCTAAGAATTATCTAGCCCAAGGAGGAGCAGCCAGAAAGATTTATTTTATTTTTATTTTTTGAGATGGAGCCTCACTCTGTCACACAGGATGGAGTGCAGTGGCGTGATCTCAGCTCACTGCAACCTCCGCCTCCCAGTTCAAGCGATTCCCCTGACTCAGCCTCCTGAGTAGCTGGGATTACAGGTGCCTGCCGCCATGCCCAGCTAATTTTTGTATTTTTAGTAGAGACGGGGTTTCACCATGTTGGTCAGACTGGTCTCGAACTCTTGACCTCAGGTGATCCACCTGCCTCGGCCTCCCAAAGTGTTGGTTTATGGTAGTCGCATAAATTTTTTCATTTCCTTATTTTTTAATTTTATGCAATGAGTTATATTATTTTTATAACTGAAATTTTCAAAAAAGCATTTTTTCCCATTTATTCCCTATATCAGCAAATGGCAATACCATCTCTATCAATCACTTAAGCCAGAAAACAGAGTTCCTTTTCATTCCTGTATCCAACTACCTATAAGGTAACTTCCTCTTGGATATCTTCTAGATTCTTCAAACTCAATAATCTAATGTTGAATACTTTCCATCTTTCCCCTAAACATGTTCTTCCTCCTCTATTCTCAGTCTTTATGAATATAACAATTTACTCAGTCACCCAAGCCAGAGCCTGGGAATGACTTCTGAGTCCTTCTCCTGTACTATTGGACCCATCCAATTTTTCACAAAGTCACCATCTCTGCAGGCTTCCATCATCTCTCTCCAGATTATTGCTGCAATAGTCATCTTCCCAACTGTTGCTGCTTGTATTCACTCTTGCCCCAGTTCATTCTAGCACCATGGCACACACCTGAAATACCAGCTACTGTGGAGGCTGAGGCTGGAGGATTTCTTGAACCCAGGAGTTCAAGACCAGCCTGGACAATATAGCAAGATCCTATCTCTTAAGAAAAAATGCAAATCTCATGTTTCTCCATTACTTAAAATCTGTCGTTGGCTTCCTGTTGCTTTTATTTTATTTAGTTAGTTATTTTGAGACAGGGTCTCAGTCTGTCACCCAGGCTAGAGTGCAGTGGTGCAATCTCAGCTCACTGCAACCTCCGCCTCCTGGGTTCAAGCGATTCTCGTGCCTCAGCCTCCCAAGTAGCTGGGATAACAGGTGTGTGCCATCATGCCTGGCTCTTTTTTTTTTTTTTTTTTTTGTATTTTTAGTAGAGACAGGGTTTCACCTTGTTGACCAGGCTGGTCTCGAACTGCTGACCTCAAATGATCCACCCGCCTCGGCCTCCCAAAATGCTGGGATTACAGGCGTGAGCCACTGCACCCAGCCAACTTCCTATTGCTTTTAAAATAAAGTCCAACATTATTGATGAAGCTCAAAGGCCACTTCATAATCCGAAGAACTCCATTTCTCTAGATATATTGGATTCCTTTCCCTGAAAAGTAGAAAGTTCTTTCATTCTGGTCCTTTTCACATTCTGTTTCCTCAGCTTGGAGTATTCTTTTCCCTAACTCTTCTGACTTAACTCTACTCACCTTTCTGTTTTTAACTTAAATATTCCTCCCTGAAGGAATATTTAATGAATAAATATAGGATTGGCTATGGAAAATCAACTTCCTCATAATTTTGTTACTTGTTTATGGTTATACCCTCAGAGATATTGCGGGTTTGGTTCCAGATTGCCACAACATAGTGAATATCTCAATAAAGCAAGTAACATGAATTTTATGGTTTCCCAGTGCATATAAACATTGCTTATACTATAGTCTATTAAGTGTACAATATCATTACATCTAAAAAACCAGTGTGTGTACCTCAATTAAAATGTACTTTATTGCTTTAAAAATGCTAAAAATCATCTGAGTCTTCAGTGAGTCATATTTTTTTTTTTGTTAAGACGGGGTTTTGCTTTGTTACCCAGGCTGTAGTGCAGTAGCACTATCATGGCTCACTGCCACCTTGAACTCCTGGGCTCAAGGGATCCTCCTATCTCAGCCTCCCAAGTAGCTGAGACTACACGTGTTTGCCACCATGCCTGGCTATTTTTACATTTTTCTATAGTGATGAGATCTCACCGTCTTGCTCCGGCTGGTCTGAAACTCTTGGGCTCAAGCAATCCTCCCAGCCTGGCCTCCCAAAGTGCTGGGATTACAGGCATGAGCCACCACGCCCGGCCAACTCTTCATCTTTAGATGAAGATACCTCATCTATCTGTATAAGGTATACAGATACATGTATACCTTATACATCTATCTTCTAAGCATAAGGACATTTTTCAACATAACCATAATATTATGAGTTCAACTAAGAAAATTAGCAGTACCTCACTAATCTTCACTAATGTCATCTAATGTAGTCCAGTGCTTCTTGAGGTGTGATCTGGAGACTGCCTGATGTTTCACAGGGAGATGAGGAGTTTATACCAAAGTATATATCATAGTACCACATTCTTTTTCTTTTTCTTTTTTTTCTTTTTTTTGAGATGGAGTCTTACTCTGTCACCCAGGCTGGAGTGCAGCAGCACGATCTCAGCTCACTGCAACCTCCGCCTCCTGGGTTCAAGTCGTTTTTCCTGCCTCAGCCTCCTGAGAAGCTGGGATTACAGGTGCATGCTACCACACCGGGCTGATTTTTGTATTTTTAATAGAGATGGGGTTTCACCATGTTGGCCAGGCTGGTCTTGAACTCTTGACCTCAGGTGATCCACCCACCTCGGCCTCCTAAAGTGCTGGGATTACAGGCGTGAGCCACTGCACCTGGCCTGCATTCTTTTTCTTTTTCTTTCCTTTTCCTTTTCCTTTTCCTTTTCCTTTTTCCTTTCCTTTCCTTCCTTTCTTTCTTTCTTCTTTTTCTTTTTCTTTTTTTCTTTTTCTTTTCTTTCTTTTTTTTTTGAGTGAGAGTCTTGCTCTGTCACCCAGGCTGGAGTGCAGTGGTGCAATCTTGGTTCACTGCAACCTCTGCCTCCTGGGCTCAAGAAATTCTCATGCCTCAGCCTCCCATGTAGCTGGGATTATAGGCATGCGCCATCATGCCTGGCTAATTTTTTTTTGTATTTTTAGTAGAGATGGGGTTTCACCATGTTGGCCAGGCTGGTCTTAAACTACTGACCTAAAGTTATCTGCCTGTCTCGGCCTCCCAAAGTGCCAGAGTATCACATTCTTTATCAAAAAAGTCTTAAAAAAAAAAAAAAAGGCACCTGAATTAAACAGTGTATTGACTTAGTGGCATTGTTCATTTACATCTGTGGACTGGCAAGGTACAACTGCTTTACATTCAATTGCCCCAACTGTCCCCAAAATGTTTTTTATGGCCAATTCACATGTTACATTTGGTGGTTGTGTCTGTGTCTCTTTAGTATCTTTCTTTTTTTTGGGAGATGGTCTTGCTCTGTCATAGCCCAGGCTGGAGTGCAGTGGCCCAATCTCAGCTCCCTGCAACCTCTACCTCCTGAGTTCAAGTGATTCTCCTGCCTCAGCCTTCCGAGTAGCTGGGATTACAGGTATGTGCCACCACACCCGGCTAATTTTTGTATTTTTAGTAGAGATGGGGTTTCACCATGTTGGCTAGGCTGGCCTTGAACTCGTGACCTCAAGTGATACACCTACCTCGGCCTCCCAGAGTACTGGGATTACAGGCATGAGCCTCCATGTCTGGCCTCTTTAGTCTCCCTTAATGTAGAATGATCTCCTCACTTTTTTTTTTTTTTTACCCAAGGCACTGACTTTTTAGAGACCAGGTCTGTTCCACATTATGGATTTGTCTGATTTTAAGGTGACCAACTGTCCTGGTTTGTCTAGGACTTTCCTAGGTCAAACACTGACCTTACATCCTGAGAAACTCCTCAGTCTTGGGTAAACCAGGATGTTTTGTTTACTTGTGTTCATGTTTAACTTTTTCTTGACCTAAATTTCTTATAAACTTGAAGTTAGGTCTAGTGGCTTGATTAGACTCACATTAAAACATTTTTGATGGCCGGGCATGGTGGCTCACGTCTGTAATCCCAGCACTTTGGGAGGCTGAGGCAGGTGGATCACCTGAGATCAGGAGTTTGAGATCAGCCTGACCAACATGGAGAAACCCCATCTCTACTAAAAATACAAAATTAGCTGGGCATGGTAGCACATGCCTGTAATCCCAGCTATTCGGGAGGCTGAGGCAGGAGAATCACTTGAACCCGGGAGGCGGAGGTTGTGCCATTGCACTCTAGCCTGGGCAACAAGAGCGAAACTCTGTCTCAAAAAAACAAAGAAACAAAAACACATTTTTGACAAGAATACTTAAGTGATCTGTGGGCAGTGGCTCAGGTGGAGGCAGGAGGATCACTTAGGCCCAGGAATTCAAGACCATC